TTGTGTATTTTGTTAACCATGCCAAGCCTATATCACCAACTGTAGACACATTCTCAAACTTCTTCACTGTAATTCAGGTTTTACCATTATGTTTGTACATTTTCTGCTCTTATAACATAATACCTGATGCTGGGTACTTATAAAGAAAAATATGTATTTACCTCACAGTTTTGAAAGCTGAAAATCAAAAATTAGATGGATTCATCTTGTTGGTCACTGGCAAGGAGCCTTCCTTCACTACATCACAGTATGGCAGACAACATCACACAGAGAATGAGAGATCGCATGGCAAGAGAGAAGCCAGAACAGTTCAGGAATCAGAATTACTTATATCAATCTGCTCTCTTTAGAACTAAGAGAGGTCCCGCAAGATCTACACTAACTGCTCCCTAGAACCCAAGGCGCCAATTGCCTTGTGCTAAGACTTACCTCTTAGAAGTGCTATCACTTCTTTAACATGGCTTCACTGGGGTCCAGCCTCAAGCACATTGACCTGGAGGATGAACCACACCTCGAACTTTAGTGGTCATCATTTGATAGAACAGTGATACTTCCTGTTCTGAGAGAGGCTTAGTGGTAAATCCTATCTTTAATTTATATTAATTATCGCCACAGTTTTGTGGCCCTGTCTTTTGAGCATGGGGTTACTTGATGTGGTTATGTAATCTATGATGAAAATAAGAAAGTGGGACTATTTCCAAGGCTCAGTTTCTCTCTCTTTTTTTTTTAATGGGAGAAAGGTCAGAATAAAATAGAACAGCAGTAAATGTAATCCTATAGATCATTTAAAAAGATGGGAATATAATTTCATTTAAGCTATTAAAAAAGTCCTCCACTGTGTCTTCAACTAGGCAGTCTGTAGCAAGTTTCCAGATTAGTATTATTAGATTAGATTATCTTTGACATATAGATTGTGATTCTTCTTAAGTAATGAATTCAGACTACCAGTGGAAGAGATAAAAAGGAATGAATGAAATTAGAAGACTGGATCAGTTGAGTGTCGTTATTGTGCTTTTGCTCTTAATTTGCAAAGGAGGCTTTGGGGTCTGGGAAAAGTGGAATTATTCCAGGAGCTACTGGAGTATTTTTGGAACAGGTCTTGTTGTTTTCTAGTAAGCAAGTGAATAATATCCCCACATGTGATCATACAATTATTACTTATTTAACAGAATATGGTTTTATAGCTAGAAATTTTAGTCCTAACACTGAAAGAAAGAATAAATCTATGGTCCTAAAAGAAGTCCTCTACTTCTATTAGGAATTCTATTAAAAATTTCATTAACATTGTCCAATTATATTCTGTAGAAAAAATTTCTGTGTTTCAGGGGGTTTTCTGGACATTTCTCACTTTGGACAACAGTACAGGAATTGTACTGTTTATACATCTGTGTGCTTGCATTTTAAGTCATTTTGGAAAATTGGTACAAGAGAGGTCATTAACTAAAAACTAGTTCCTTTTGCTTCCAAATTATCCATGCAGTATTAAGGTGGAGAAAAGCTTGTTGTCTTAAAGCAAATATTTGGACAATGCCTTTACCTGTCTTCAGACTGCGTGACTGTTTGGTCCTTGTTTGATTTATTGATCTTGGAGTTTCTCAGAGTCCAGTGCAGAACTGAAGGACAACATCTTAACTCTGGACTATTCACACTCATGAGCTGATAGAACCCTGTATGATGAGTTATGCAGTACAAGGGAATGTAAGATTGTCTGGAAGGGCTGAGACTGTCACCTTTTGTGACCCAAGGGCAAAAGACCTTGGTCCTGCTGGACACCGAAGAGAATCTATGCACGTCACCAATCAGATGGTTTCTTTCTCAGGGATGTTATGGGCTACAGACAATGAGGGGATCATACATTCAACTTCTGCCTATGTAAATACCGTTAAACATGGGAAAATATTTTTAGAAATAGTTTTCTTTTCCTGTGTTTTGTGAATCTGGTGGCAGAAAAATGATGGGAAGTGACTGTAGTATTCAGTTGCTTTAGCCCTTGTGTCTGGTAGTAACATCCTCAAAGCCTTTTTTCCTAGTACAGTTTGCATGGACAGGAAGCGTTTTCCTATGGTCAACATTTCCTGCAGTCTTTTCTGCTCAGGGTGTTACAATTTTCTCATTTCTTGCTAGTAGCAAACCAAGATCTCTGAACTGCACTTCAGTTTCATGCTTGTTTCCCTGCTTCCTTTCGCTGAATTAGGAAAAACAGAGTAAAAGCTTCAAGATTACATATTATATGTGCTATTTTTCCCTTAATTCCACATAACAATTTCTCTATAGATGTACCAATTTGAGCAGGAGGAAGGAGAATAATTTTCAGTGTTTCCCTCAGGCTTAATCTTACATTGATGGTCCCATACATTACCTGAAAATGCTCAAATTGGTAAAGCTATTAAACTTTAATGGTGATTCATAATGGATTTCTGTGCCATTTTTCTGCTTTCATTCAATAACTAGAAGAAAATAGGAGACATAAATTATGTGTTTTATGTTAAAATTGCCCTTCATATTCAGTTCACAAAAGCAAGAATGTGGTCCATTTTCAGTGTGTCTGAAGCGTTAATGGAAACTGTCACCTGTTTTCCGTTGCCCTCTTATGGTTTGTATGTGCTGTTCTTTCCCGAACCCTTATTTAATGTCCTCTTGCATGAGTTCCTTGACATACTGTAAACTTAACCATCACCTCCATAGTACAGAATTAGCTTTGTTAAAGTCTTGGTCTAAGCTAATGATAATATGAAAAGCTTGATTAACAAAGAAAAAAATAAAATGTGCAAACTGATGCATGGGGTCAGTTGCTAGTTATGTCACTTCTCAGTTTGGGCACTTTCGTCAACCAATGACCTGCATTTTATTTTTCTGTAAATTTTCATGGTGATACATGCCCTTGTACCCATGTCCAAACCCAGTGTCCCAGAGTATTCTTGAGCTGCTGAGTCAGTAAAAGAACCTTGGACTGGTTTTCTGGGGTTTTTTTGGCCCAGTAGTCTGTGAATCTGTGCTTATGGTGATTAACTTGATACAAACTAACATAAAGAAAGGAACCTGATCATGGCAAGTAGAATTTTTAAAGAAATCAAAACAATTGACAAGGGACAAAAACAATTAAGATGTATTATGTACATGTCTCAGTTCCCCAAAATAAATGTAATAATTGTATGCTGCAACATGTACTAATACAATTTAAAAATTTAAAAATATAAATACAACAGTTATTATAACCATAACTTACTAGTGTACAAATTAGGATTTTTAAGTGGGCAGGCACCACATACCTCAAGCTGTCACTTATTCATATAAGCTAAAATGCTGACATCATAGATGTAGAGCACAGAACAGGAGGGGAGGATGCTGGCGAGGGAAGTAGCAGGTGGACAGTAAGTTTACAGGGGTGTGATTGGGTAGGAGCAAGCACTCAGTGTTCTGTGGCTCACTAGGAGAACTGCGGTTGGAAACAAATCATGCTATATTTAAAAGTAGCTAATAAGATTTTGAATGCTCACAACAAAGCATTACAACTGATTGAAGTGGCAGAGATGTCAGTGTTCTGCTCTGCTCATCATTCATTGAACAAGGGTACTGAAATGTCACATAAGTATGTACTATTACTGTGTGTCAATTACAAATAAAAATGTATTTTAAAGACAAAAAATAAAGCCAGTATTATAGGAAATTGTATTATGTGTAGCATAAATTAGCACACATTAATACACAAATGATATTCGCTAAATAGTAGTGTTTTCTTTCCTTTCTCTCAGCTTTTCTTTCCAATCTCTTTATTTGTCACTGCCTGGAGCCACCTCTCCTGTAGTCCTGCGTAATTGGAATTGCTTGATGCCAAACTGCAGTGACACTGAGGTCCACCTGACTAGAGCATCCTCCTTCTTAGCTTGGGAAATTTGGTCCTATTTACATCCAAGTTGTGAATGAGAAGAACATGCAGGAATGGATGTTTTTAGAACATGGAGGAATGGATATTGGTTTATCTTGTATAATGGAACGTATTTATGGCATTATAATTCAATGAGGTCATATATTTATCAATCTGTGCATAAAATATATCATTTTTTCTGCAAACAGCTTTTAAGTCAACACTGTATTCTACATATATGTTTTCTCATGAAATTTTGTGGAACAAAAATTTCCAGTTTTATAATAACAATAATGGCAACTGAAATACCTTAAGAATGCCTATTTGGCAAGGTTTGGCAAAGATTAATTCATTTAAACCTCACAGCACTAGTAGTGCAGTTACACAAAGGAAATCAGAAAGCTGGATGTCACCACAGAAAAATGGCAACTGGACCTCGTTCCAGAATGGCAGGGCTCATTGTACTCTCCTAGGTTACTAGTATGTATACTTGCAAAATTACTTTAATCTTTATATGCGTTAGTTTCATGATAAGTAGTGTTCTGTGGATAAAATATGTCTCTTCTCTGTGTGGCATTTAATGTTCTCTTTACCAGGGTTCAAGCCTGTTTCTGTATTACCTTTCATTTTGCTGTTCAGTACAGCGTGGTGGAATCCAAAGACAGGCTCTATTATATGAATGGATAGAATCTGAGATACTTCAGGATCCACATGAGAAAATGATTTTAAGTGCAATCCATCCTTGAACTTATTTCATTTTGTTTAAAACTGGTTGTTTCTTTTCAACATATTGAATGTGTTAAGACCAAAGTGGCAAGCTTAAATGACAGGCTTTCTTTTTTATTGTACCTATATTTGGTTTAAATGTTCATTTCCTCTTCCACACTATTAGATGGATTTAACAGCAAAAGATACAACAAAATTATTTTATTGCTGGAGATATTTTAATCACCCTTACTTGAAGTCAGAAACAATTTTATCAAAATCCCGAGAATAAGAACAATAAGATGTCATTGTGATTTTAATCCTGTTGGAAGGGTGTCTGTCATTGAGGAAATGAGCATGGATAAATATCAGCTGTTTCCCTAAAAGATGTTTTCTTATTTCTAAAGTCAGCCCTCCCCTCTCTTGACAGGCACCAGCATATTCACCGTCTACGAGGCTTCCTCCCAGGAAGGCTGGGTTTTCCTCATGTACAGAGCAATCGATAGCTTTCCTTGCTGGCGGTCTTACTTCTATTTCATCACTCTCATTTTCTTCCTTGCCTGGCTTGTGAAGGTACTGGCAAAAATCACACTAATCAAATCCACCTTTTTTGCTAGTTCTGTAGATCTTATATTTTTGGATGCCCTCTGCTTCCTCATGCTCAGTGCTTGGTAAAGACAGTTTCTAATTTTCTTTCAGAATGTCTTCATTGCTGTCATCATTGAGACATTTGCAGAAATCAGAGTGCAGTTCCAACAGATGTGGGGGTCAAGAAGCAGCACAACTTCCACAGCTACCACGCAGGTAGAGTATCCCCAATATGTTGCCACCACTGGCCAGACAGGGTCAGATACAGCCTCACTGGCAGAGGAGCTTGAGGAAACCTTGATATAATGAATGTTATCTGGCACAAAGTGAAAAGTAAAACAAACAAACAAAAGAACAGGTTTATTGAGGACGTGGAAAGGAGCAGGAGCACACAACGCACGGCAGTTGGGCTGTCTCCTTTGACTGGATACAGAGAGACAGAGGTTATATGACTTCTGATTAGAAGTGGCACATGGGGTGGATACTGATGACATGTGAGGAACCGATTGGAATTCTCTTTGCACACAAACAGGAAAGGGAATTGCAGTTAGGGCTAAAGAAAAAACAGAAAGTAGTACGCATTCCCACTTTGGCCTTCTGCCACGTTAGACCACCACCATAATTGTACAGTAATTTGTACTAGTGCAAGAACATTTCAGTAAACTTCTACAGTATCACACAGTCAGGGAGCTGTTTGAAAACCCAGGTGCAGGGATCCAAGCCCAGAAAAACCAAATCAGACTTGCTCAATGTGGCCTGAGGGCTACCAGTCTGTGGGTAAGACTGCCCATCACATCTATTATGGACCTTTGTTTCCATTCTGACATCACAAATCTGTGAGCTTGCGGATCAAATATAGCAACTGTAGAATTTCCATTTCTATGGGTATTTATTCATGTATTGCAAGCACAAGTAATGACCCATATGCCTAGTATTGGGATTTTTGAAATAGAAAATTTATCTCATTCAGAACAAACTAGTCAACAAACCAGTGCAATAAACTATCGAGAAAACCCCTTCATGCCCAATGCCTGTGTTTTTTTGAGGGATCACTATGTATTCAGAAAGTGAAAGAGCAGTTATATATAACAGTAATTTCGATCCATGTCTTTGTTTTTCCTTCTGTTTTTTTTCTATTTGATTTTGTGGTGGTTAAGAAAATGAAGGATGGATTTATAAACAGTATCTTCACTAGAAATTTAGCTCAGTGGCTTAAGCATTTCCCTGGTAAGTGCAAGGTCATGAGTTCAATCCCCAGTACCAAAAAAAAAAAAAAAAAAAAAAAGAATGTTTATAAACAGCATCTTCTACCATGAATCCTTATGAAAAAGAGAATACAAAAATTAAAAAAGATGATATAGTATAATGCTTTATATATACTATGTTAATATTAAATTCTAAAAGTAATATATGCTTGTAAGAGCTATACTCAAATCTGTTGGGACAAATGGATCTGTGAAAGGATCAAAGCATCAATTTTATTTTGAGAGCCTTCAGACTGAACTTTTAAAAATTGCATATTCAGATGCTATTAAATTTATGAGTATTTAGGAAAAACCTTACAATCCTGTAAGACATTTTTATAGAAGTCTGAATTGTTTTGCCTGTTCATTACAGGTGAAATAGTAATGTTGATATTGTTCAATTTTGACAATTATTCAAACATTTATGTAAGACTCTTATAAATAGTATTTAATTTATATCAGAGATATCTTATGGGAAGGCCTTCAAGGGATCCGCTAAGTCTAGTTCTTATCTCTCCTCTCATGCCTTTCAGAAAAAAAATATAGTTCCAAGTCCATTCTGACATCTCATGGTAGAGACATTGAGACCTCAATGAAACATAGAACTCAGCCCCACACATGGTCCTGAGCAGTGGCCTTAAAATGTCTTTAAAATAACATCATATTTATTAGGGAGCTCTGATGCCTCAAAGCACAGCTGGAAAAGTAGAGTCTGGAAGCACCACCCAATCAAACAACCGTTGTAATAGAAAGTGAAAGGTAAAGAGACTTTTAACAAAGTTGTGTAAAATTATTTTGATGCAAAGATGCACTTAATCAGGAGGCCTAAGTCTGTAATTCAGAGGAAATGTGTCTAGATGTTCAGCAGAGGTAATCACACAGAGAACTGTGAAAACCCTTCATTAAGAAAAATGCTGTGCTGAGGACCTGGTTGCTAGGCGACCTGATCTCCAGCATGCAGCCTCTGGATGAAACACCACTTAGGCAGCCTAGCAACAGGACCTCAGGCCCCACCTACCTTAATGGCCACTTGCAGGGACCCCAGATGCTTTTATGTGTTGGGAAGGGAGAGACAGCATTTGCCTGGACTCTGCTGCCTTTGTAAAACCTGACTACACTCTGTGACTGGGGGTTTCTTAAGTGGCTTAAAATACTGAATCGCAAGTTTCTAATTCTGATATAACAAAAATAAGAAAAAATAAAGGTGTTGACTGAATTGTAAAGCACAGAGCTTTTAGAGATGGAGTTCAATGTAGACTTTCTCTAGTAGGTGGGAATTTTTCATTTGTTTAAGATCTTACCAAAGATCTTAAAAGTTGTTAAGATCTTATCAAAGATCTAATGATGTGCTGGTGTGTTGGAGTTCCTGATGTCTGTACATCTGTAGACTTCTCATGACAACCGTGTGTGTGTATGTGTGTGTATGTACAGTAACAAGACAAAGAAAATGACCTTGATATTTTTAAAGCAGTTCCTTAATATGTACCATTTAGAGGCAAAAGGGAATCCTCAAGAGAAGTTTTTCTTTAAAATAACAAAGCAACCTTTTCTAATTGAATGCCTACTGCCAAATGCCTGTGAGTCACACCATACAAACAAATTAAAGAAAGATTAATGCCAAAGGTCTTCTGGAGACCGTAATACAGTATGTACATGGGTAATGAAAGGAAAGTGGGCTAGAAATTTTCAGATTAATAATCATAAGTCTGCCTGAGCTGTAATGATGCTTACATGTTTTGTACCATCATCAGTCTTAGGGTAGCTCTTGCTATGAGCTCAATGATGGATTGCATTGAAAGGCAAGAGATTCACACTGCTGCAATACAGTAGCCCATCTGTCCAGCAGCACTGGTCACTTCACAGTGTTGTCCAGACACCGGGTGTTGGGATGTGCACATATGCTGGTAGAAATCCAGACAAAGGGTACCCTTGATCTACACCTGTACTCCCATTACTTAAAGCACTTCACTTCCAGTTCCTGATATCAGTCTTGCAGTCCTCCGACCTGCATGGGCTCTTGACAGGGTCGAACCTAGCCAACTTTGCCCAGAGTAGAACTAAAAGAACTATACAGCGTTAGGGCCACTCAGGGATGCTTTCCTGTTGTGTACGGTGAAAGGACCCACAAGGTAGGCAGTTCCTACTATCTCTGTAAACAAATAGTTCATGTACCCTCAGGGTGCTATTGATGATTTGGTACATACTTTGCTTATTGAAAGGGAGTGATAACTTCTGTATCTATTATTATCTGACTGAGCCCTCTTATTTTTCTGAATTAATATTCCCCAATTAAAAGATAAGATTGATTGGGGATAGAATTGTTACAGGAAAAAGGGACGCTTTTCTGCTCTTTCTCCTTGCTGATTCCATCAGTGTTCTCAGAACAAGACTCAGAGCAACCCTTGTGTGAAGTGCAGTGCTCAATGCCAAGGCAGAGAGGCATGGATGAAAGGATGTACCATCATAGCATGTAAAGAATATTTCCTCCACAAAATACTATGTACAACTTAATGCTCAAAAACAGTACTTGAGAAAAATTTTGTTTACTGTGTTCCAAGCCATTGGACTCCCCATGAAGGTACATCATGGAACAGGAGAGAAAGCAGTTCAATGAGAGAGGCTCTGGACAGGGCTGTGTAGCATGGTGCAACAGTGATCTTCTTCTCTAAGAAGCCATGGCAATGGAACGATGCATTCCTCACATGAAGCCATAAATGAGAATTAAATTTCGTGAGGCTGAATTATTGAATGTATTGTTTAGTAGTGGAATCAAGCCATGTGTCTGCCTCATTATTTTGTTATGACTGTTAACCTGTTCTTAAAAAAGATTCTGAAGAAACTCAAAGAGCATAAGAATTTCAAAATAAGTTTTAGATTTCCTCTGCATTACTCTCTGTGTGTGGGTAGGAGGCAATTTTATTTCAGCTTCTAGTGACTCCTCTGATATCAAAATTCTCTCATTGCCTCCCAACACATAACCTGATAATAATGATGATATTTTGCCTATAAAAATAATCCCCAAAGTATCTTCTATACTTTATAAACCAAGTACCCCATTAAAAAGCTCTTATAGTTGAAAATGGGCAAATCTAAGACAATTCTCAAGGCTGAAATCTTCATGGTTTCCAAATGATTGTACTGAGAGTGCTGGAATCCATTCATGCTGCTGTTGGTAATTCATAATATCTTATTACAGTCACTAACATGGATTGAGGATGGTTTTAAGCACAGAGTAATGACTTTACAACCTGTCTCATTTAATCTTCACAATAATATAGCTAAATGGGTACCGTTATGGTCTCCACTTGCAGATAAAAACTGACAAGAATTGGAAAGTTACTTAGTTTACCCAGCATTATGTAAGGAGCAAGTGGTGGCCCTGGGACTTCACGGCAGCTGCTGGGCTGCAGTAGCCCAGGGTTTCCTCCCCCTTACTTCCTACCTCTTCTTGATTACCCAGCACAAGTGGGCTGTGTTCTGGCCCCAGGTTAACTCGCTTTTCTCAAAAGGATAGTACTTCTTTCATTGGCAGAAAGGAACATTCCTGTGTATTGTTACTGAGCATAAATTAGACCATCTCTTAGAGAACTGTTTGGCAATATGTCTCAAAAGCCTGTGTGTGTGCATGTGTGTATGTGTGTGTGTGTGCATCACACACATACACAGATATTATTTGGCTGGGAGGAGATTTCATTCTAGGAGTTTATCCTACAAAGAATTTGAACAATAATGAACTATTTACCTCTGAGAGTATTTACACCTTTTTAAGACACAAAAAAGGAAAACATTTTAAATTTTTATCAACTAAACTATTGTTGACAAATTATGAAATTGGAATAAATGCAAACAATTAAATAATGATTCAACTTTATTGACATAAAAATCTGCTGATAACATATTATACCCCTAAAATAAGGGAAAAAAAGATATCAAGTGTGTGTGTGTATATGTGTTATGTGATAAATATGTATATGAATACCTAGAAATTTAATTCTAAAATGTTAGCAGTGGTTGTCTCTGGGAAGGGTTCAATTTTTTTCCTGTTGCTGTTGTTATGTTTGTTTGTTTGTTTGTTTGAGACAGGGCTCACTATGCAATTCAGACTAGCCTTGAACTTTGTACCCCAGGCGAGCCTCCAGCTTCCAGTGATCCTTCTGCCTCAGCCTCGTGAATGCTGGGATGATAGGTGTGCCAGCATACATGGCCAGGTTCTAGATTTTGTACAGCTCGTCCACATTTTCCAGTATGTATCAATAAACACATTTGATTGTGTGATGAGAAGGGAAAAGTTACATCATGGAAACAAATGAAATCATTGGGCATCCTAACTAAAATTACAGTACCTCTGTTAATTAAATCAGGTCCCCTTTAAGGTACCAAATGCTAAAAATAAACAGCTGAGGGGAAACAGAATTCTGTTCTCTCCCATGCAAAGTTGGAAAAGATCGTTTGGTGTTGGCATGGTGGTCTGTGTGGCCACTAAGCTAGATTCCTTCCAAATATTTGCTCTACAACTCCCATTCCTAAAGTTACCTTCTTGGCTAAGAGGCTGCTGTAGCTCTAACCCTCATATCTATATTCCAGTGAGTAGGAAGAAGTAATATAAGGAGAAAGAGAATTTATGCCTATATCTCATCAGCAGGATGCAGTTACATGAGTTACATAGTCAAGATGAGCTCCCCAAAGATTAAGAATTAAAGTTTGTTCTTGAAGGCTTCGTGCCTCTCTTAAAAATTTCCAAGTTCTCTGCCTTTGGAAGATAAAGTGAGCAAACAGAGAGACAGCTATCAGCTCCAGCCACAACTCCACTCTGCCCCCAGGATTTGAGTCTTTAGGATGGAGGTTAGCGGCTGAGCTTTTGTCTTGAAGTTCTCCTGTTACATTAGACCAAACTAGGTGTTGTTTTAGAGCTCAGGGATGGAAGAGAAATTGAACGTGTTTGCGTTTCTTTTATTTTACACAAAGCAGTCACCTTCAGAGAGCTCTTTTACTGGCAATTAAATTGATTCATGTGATTTTGATCGGCTAGAAAATATAATTTAACAGGGAAAATTAGTCTGTGATAGATCAAAGCTAATCCTGAACCCAGGGATTCTTTGTACCATGATAAAACAGGATAGGCGGCAGGGATGGTTGTCTTCTCCCTGTAAAAGGAGAATTCCAGGATTCTGACAGGGACTGTGAAAGGCACTTTAACAGGTGTGCTTTCCCAGCCTGCGTGTGTTCCCAGAACGAGCCTCTTCATGAATGATGTGCTGGGTTCTACCTCCAGGCACCGCTTGCTTTTAACATGCATTCTCAAGCCAGCTGGTAGCTGAGATCAACAATTTGCAGTGACATCTTTGTTCAAAAGATCTTTGTAAAATGTGCACCTAATTTTGTCACCTAAAAAATACACATATGGTGTTTCAGTTTGGGGACTTGACTCTCCTCTTCTGTAGAGGACTCATTTTACTTTCTGCCAGTGATCTACATCTCTATGTCAGGAACTTGAAATTATGCTCGTATATCCTAGGCAATGGCCTTACGTCAGCTTAGATGCCCGCCAATGATTACCCTTTTCATTGCAGGGTCAGATGAACAGGAGGACATAAATAAGTACACTGATAGAAATGTTTTCATATGCAAAACAATGACTTTGGACAGGAATATAACAGTGTGCTCTCGTAGTAAGGATCGTCACTTAGAAAATTTTTTAAAAAAACTAATTTCATCCTTTCCTGCCTCCATATATACCCTCAAGCCCCTAAGGAACTGGGGAAAAAATGTGCTAGTGGGGAAATTCTTATAAATGGGAAATGTCTTCCAGCTGGAGATAGTTTTGACAGGTAAATACTTTTGATGTAGTGGGACATGCACCCAAACATTTAAGTTAGTGAATTTCAGGTTGATTTTTACCATTTGCATGCTCTAAGTATAAAGAAGCTAATTGTTTCCTTCCTAAGCATGTACATGAAATTCTTGCTGAGCTGGTTTGGTTGTAACCTGGTAAGCACAGTTGTGCCTTGTCAATGAACTGCCATCCTCTTCGCATGAAAATAACCCTCATCTCTCTCCCTTGGGCACACTATACCTTTGCTATTTGCCCTGAGAATATTCTTTGATTAGTTCAGTCAGAAATCCCCACTAACTACCACGTGTGATGGCAAAATACCGTGAGTGTTTAAATAAATATTTATTAGATTTCCAATAGTTCCAGGCAGGTTACCCCTTGGCTGGAACACACCTGTCCCGTCCTTCTTGCTGTTTCTGCAGTAGCTCGGAAATCTTCTTACATGAGGCCCCTTTTGTAGCTACCTGGAAGCCCTGAATGTTTTTAAAATATTTACCGAAACTTCAGTCAGATAAAAACCCAGTGTTATGTCCACTTCCACTGTACTCACTGGATCTGTCACTGTGTAACTTCTGGTCCTTTTCCCAAATCAAAAAGACTTGAAAGGTAAGCATCTTTAATCCATTCAGGACATCAAGATTGACATAACAGAGCCACTAAAGACACAAAGGTGGACTCCAGAACTGCTTCAGAAAGTGACAAGAACCATGGGAGAGATGTGTTCAAACCTCAGGGTATATTTTGCAGGAGATCAATGGCAATGTATCTTTTATTGTAGTATCTTTTAAAAATTTTAATTATCCACTGTAGTTTTTATACTCGTACCTCATAAAGAAAGGAATCCACCACTTATAGTAAGAACACAGTGGATACAATGCTTTAGAGTCTTCTTTTTTTTTCCTCCCAAATCTAAGAAATGACAACCAGGAAAATGGGGATATTTACTAACTATTTCTTTAGAAGAGAAGAATATTTGTGCATTAAGATCTGAAGATATACAAGATAGGCTTGCCGTGTGCTAGGTGATACCTGACACATAACAAGTGCTTAATTAATGCAGTCCTGATTCTTAGTATTATTACTGTTCACTCAAGTTTCAATGTTAAACTGAACATAATTGAAATGACTCATGTTCCAAATATAAATCCTTCACAACGACATAAAAAATGAAGAGGGCTGGAGACATTAAGTTGGAGCTCTCAGTGTTCCCTGTGAGATGCCAATGATTCATCTTCCTCTTTGTCTTGAAGATGTTTCATGAAGATGCGGCCGGCGGTTGGCAGCTGGTAGCCGTGGACGTCAACAAGCCCCAGGGACGCGCCCCAGCCTGCCTCCAGGTGCAGTAAGCCACATATTAAAAGCTTAAAAGGTCTTTGATTTGCATTTTGTACAAGGGAATCCACCCAGACGTACAACCCAGACATCGGGGTACTATTTCACTCCACCTCCGGCTCCCGGGACCTGGCACCCCTTTAGCAGTCCATTAGGGATTCGTCCAAGGTGTGTACAGAGCTTCCAGTGTTAGTGCACACTCTGCAGGCTCAAGTTAATGAAGACTGCTGTTTTCATATTAAATCTTGTCAAACAGACTCTCCTAAAAGGCCTAATTATTTGGAGCCAAGCAGGCCTGGTCACATTTCACTCAGTACTGCATTGCACTGAGTACCAGGGGAGACATGTTGTCCTGCGACTTACGAGATCCTCACCTATGTGATGTCATGGTGCTGAGTCCTTAGCCAGGGGGACCTGCAGCAAGTTTGAGGACGTGGAGGTGTCCTGGAGGGACTCTCAGGCCATCAGAAGGCAGGGCCTCCAGTCCCCACCCTGGAGCTTTCTGGGCTCAGAAATACTTCCAATCTATAGAAACTCTATTTCCATTTTCCCCCTTCAATTCTTTTATCTTCTTTTTTAAAAACTAAGTTTATTGGTACAACAATCTACATATACACAATGATCACATTCATCATAGGGAATCTGTACCTGTGCACGATATATCTTGATTTTCTCCCATTCCCTTCCCCTCCCCTCAAACCCTCTTCCCCACCTTACAAAGTTTTATTTCCATTTTTTTTCCTGATTTTCTTGTTTTCCTTTCCTTCCTTTCCCTCTCCTCCCTCCCTAGTTCCTGTTCCCTTTTGAAAAATTTCTTCTTATTTCACAATATCTATTACACAGTTTGGTTTTTATTAATGCTTTCAGTCTCTCACACCAGAGAAACAATGAAATATTTACACATGTATCTGATTAATTTTACTTAAGATATTGTCTCCAGGTTCACCCATTTTCCTAAAATTGTCTCAAGTTTATCCTTCTTTAAGCTGATTAGTACTCCATTGTATAAAAAAAATCATCTTCTTTATCCATTCTCTCATTCATGGCCATTTGGGTTGTTTCCAAGATTTTAGCTATTAAAAACTGTGCTGCTAAAAACATGGATGTGCTGTGGTAGGATGCTTTTAATTCTTGAGGGAAGACACCAAAAAGGGGAGTGACTAGATCGAATGGAACACTAAGTTCTGGTTCTCCACACTGATTTCCACAGTGGTGGCAGCAGTCTCCCTTCCTACCAACAGTAGAGAAGGACTCCTTTTTTCCCCACAGCCTGCAGCATTTGTTATTGATTAATTTCTTGATTAATTTATTGATTAATTTATTGATTAATTCCCTGCAGCATTTGTTATTGATTAATTTCTTGATAATACACACTTTTTATGGAGTGAGATGGGATCTCGGCATTATTTTAATTTATATCTCTCAAATGACCAGTGATGTTGAACATTTTTAATGCATTTATTTGCTGTTTGATATTTGTTGAGAAGTATGAATTCATCTCAGATGCCCATTTTTGAATTGCATCTTTAAATTTATGGCATCTGATTTTTTTCAGTTCTTTATATGTTCTAGATATAAGTCCTTTGTCTGAGGAATAACTGACTGAAGTTTTTTCTCACTCTGTGGGTTATTTTTTCACTCTGTTGGTGGTTTCTTTTGCTGTGCAAAAGCTTTTTGATAAGATGAGTTTCCAGTTTTTGATTCTTTGTAATATTTCCCATGCAATTGGGGTTGTTTTTGCACTGCAGTTGTATGGGTTTCTTTAATATTTTGGATCTTATACCCTTTAAGACATAAAATTGTGAATATTTTCCCCCATTCTGTAAGTCGCTTTTTCATTTAATTGCTCACTAGTTGTTTCTTACAGTTAGAAGAATGGACAAAGGGGGCTGGGCATTTAGCTCAGCAGCCTAAGCACCTGTCTTGCAAGTGCGTGGTTGTGAGTTCAATCCCCAGTATCGATAAAATTTTTTTTAATTTTTAAAAAAGAATGGACAAAGGAAAGGGAAAGATTGTTCATGAATATTGACAGTATTAAAAATTATTTTGTGATTTTCTTTCTGTTCTATATTTGATGATGACAATGCTGCTAATGGGTAGTGACTACAGCTGCCTCTATGGCTGTTTGTCTGATGGTAATAACATCATTAACCACGGTTATAATGGTAACTTAGCATACGAGGCATCTTCACCTACCTTACCTGCTAATCCATCAGCTGGTGTTCACTGCACACGAACTGTGCTCTAGTTACTGAGACAGTCCTGCAGGAAGCAAGCACAGCCCCTATCCTCCTGGAGTGAGCTGTGTACTTCAGGCTGAGAGGGAACAAGGCACTGTAGCATGCCCAAGAGTAAAGGGGATTTTGAAAACCCTAATGCAGGACATTCTGGGACTGTATCATTTAGAATCCTCTTAGCCTGAGAGGTTAGGAAAATCCTTGAGAGGTAGAAAAGTTTAAGCAAAGACCAGGAGAATAAGAAAGGGGCAATAAAGGAGGAGTTGGCTATGACCCCAGAATGAGGAGACTGGGGTATGTCCTTAGCCTCTCACAGGTGAGAAAATGGTAGAAATAAACTGCAGTCTTAGCGCAGCTGTGAGTAGCTAGTTGGAGTCACATGGGAACCAGAATCTAATGCTTTAAGTCTACTAAATACTTGTTAGCTGCCGCCTCTGGATTTTGCTGTGGAATTAGGAAGCCTGTTTATCACAACGATTTGAAGATGAAAGGGAATAAATGGCTGAGCAGGGATACAGGACAGTGAGCCCTGGTGTGTGTACATGGCGGGGAAGTACAATGTGTTGGGCATGTAGGGATGTGGCCGCTGTGCATTAGACATACATTAGTAACATAGCGGACCCTTGGGAAGTTCAGTAAACGTGAGGCACAGAGTCAGAAGATAAGGAGGAAGTCAGAAAACTCAACTGAAGTCTACAGCCACACAACCCTGAATGTGCCTGATCTTGTCTGATCTTGGAAGCTAAGCAGGGTCGGGGCTGGTTGGTACTTGGATGGAAAAAAACTCAGCTGAAGGAAGTTCTGCCCAACTCAGCTTCACATTTGGACTTAAATCAAGCTCTACAGAAGAACCCAACATTCATGAAAGAATGTAGATGAAAAGAGGGATGAGCATGGGATTGTCTGCAATAGGCAAGAAGCATGGGGGAACAGATATATATATAGAGAGAAGGAGAGAGAGAGAGAGAGAGGGAGAGAGAGAGAGAGAAAGAGAAGGGGGGACATTTCCACATCTGAGCAAAATAATATTATTAAAAGAAAAGAGGCTAGTAATATATTTATGATGAAAGGGCAGTCAGATATTTGATGGGTTTTGCTCAGCATGGATGCTATCCAAAACCAGTTAAGTGGAACAGTTGCACTTGAGGTTCCCACTCATGTTCCAGCATTAGAATTATGTCTCACCCCAAGGACAAATGGGAGAACAGGCCATCGATTTATTTTTGTTTCTTTGTTTTTCATTACTGGCTGTTGAACTGAGAGCCTTTGCGCTGAACTAAGCACTTTTTAGTTTGAGCCAGTGTCTCTATCACTGTTTCTGTGTTGCCCAGGCTGGGCTCACATTTACTATTCTCCCACCTCGCCCTCCCGGAGTGCTGGGACTTGGCATGTGCCACTAGGCCCAGCTGTATTTCCTTTTATTTTTAAGACAAGCAAAATGTCACTGTTTTCTTAAAAAACACTACAAAGGAAGCATTTCTTCCCACCTTCTTCCCCCAGAGGCTGCATAGAGTGGTTTCTTCTCAGGCTTCTGTGTTGGTCCCTACATTTACACATTTTGTCTTGTATGAAAAAGCATTTCTGCCTCTGGGAAGCCTGACATTTTCACAGTTTCCTCTTTTCTCTTCTCGCCTTTCCTCCTTTGGAACACAACTCAAACATCACTTCTGGAATAAAGTCTTCTTCTTTGTCCTCAAAACAAAGGTTAGGGACCTCAGTACCACGTCTTAGTAGCATATCTGTCATCCTGTACCTTTCTGTGTATTGTAATTTTAATGAAATAAATTTATATTGTTATTTATTATTGACTCTCTAGTTCTGTAAGCTATGCACTCCACAATGTGAGACCGGCTCTGCTGTTTATTACAACAGAGGATGGGGGCTGGGGATTTAGTTCAGCGACATAAGCACCTGCCTTGCAAGCAGGCGGTCGTGAGTTCGATCCCCAGTACCGGTAAAAATGAAAAAGACAAAAAAAAAAAAAAAAAAAAAAAAAAAAAAAACAGAGGATGACCAGGCATGAGGGAGCACTTGGCCTTGCAAAAGGCCTGTTTGACACCTTGCCGAGAGGCTGTCTGTCCGGTTGAAATGTCTCCAGAACTAGAGATCAAATCCACTAGAGCAATAACAACCATGTTAATTTTTTAAAGTTTATTTCTATGTGCATGTCTTTGAGGGTTAAACCAAGCTGTGCCTTTGCAGTTTGTTCCCAGAAAGTACTTCTCAAGAGCTGTGTGACTTTGGATGACCTTGGATAGTTTGCTAGTTTGTGTCTCCTAAAAGATGGTAACAGGGTCCTGGCAGGTAACTCTGAATTTTACTTCAAAATTCTGCTTATCTTCTTCAGAATGTGAAATAAATGGACCCATGTTTAAAAATATGGTGTTAGGAGTGGCCCAGTTGGAACAAATTCAAGCCCATTCTATCTTTACACACACACACACACACACACACACACACACACACACACACACAGTATATCAGAATGCAATGTTTAAATATCTGTAATTAAGTGAGCTTGTCATTTTGTAATTGTTGATATAAATTAGAAAATAAGGAATCAGCAATATCTAAGAGATGGCACGGGGGTCCCTATTAACTATGCAGAACTGTTGCTTTTGGCCTTAGAGTGGAGTTATTTCTAAAAATTGATATGAAGTTTAATAAATGGAATAATTTGCATGAAAATCCACATCTCCTGCTGCTCTCATAGAATGATCTGATAAGACAAGGCTCACATTTCCACCAGGCTACAATTGGCCAGAGCT